GCAATGACAAAACTGGCAGTCCCTGTATTTGCTCGCCATCTTGGTGAAGAAAGTTCTCGGTGCCGTCTTACGTTCTCGCGCAAAGTTCAAACTCTTTCTCTTCGCTTCTTAAAAACGTGCATTGCGAAAGAAAACAGAATTCGCTGTGCTCTCATTATTTCATCTTGACTTTATCACTTGATACCAATCATTTTTCATGATAAATTTTTTAACTTGTAAAATTTGCTAATAGCACCATCGATTTTTGCAATCTGAAAGAATATCACAGAAGGCAATTCTCGGGGAAGAAGCATTTCTTCTAATATTTCAGATCTCGAAAGAGGATATAATCACATGATTACAACTGGCATTATGCTCGCGCTATCTCGCCGCTTTTATGTGTTTCCTCAAGCTTACATGTTTATCACGCGTGGCCTTTATATCTTATATTTTTCACAGCGATGACAGCGGCAAGCGGAACGAAAATACTCTCTTCCGTTTCTGCGAGTTAGAGGAGTCGCCATCTTTCAGTCACAGTTCAGGGAGCTAGATGGTATTGTTTGACTGTCCAATATTTTCCAAGGAAAGATAATCCGTCTAATGGCGCCACAGAGAGAAGAGATTCTCGTAAAAATCTAACATGAAAGTCAGATCAACTGTATCACTTCTGATTGCTTCACGACAAAGCACTCTAATCGCTTTGAAGAGAATAAGCTTTCCCGTAATATTTACTGTTCAAATATTCTCTCATAGGATCATCCTACGTGTAATATTTCATTTTACTAATATCTAGAGTATTTAATTAAAACAGTATATGATTTGCACACATAAAAGAAAGAAGTGTCAGATCAACTCTTGCATACTCAAATTAACGCGTTCATTGTTTTGTATATAAGCAACAATCTATAATCTTCTTAGAAGCAATTAATAATCTTGCATTCCAAGACTATCCAAAACAGTCTTATTTAAGTACTATAATTGTCACTTCAAGAAAACGTATAATTATTTTGACAACAAAATTATTTTAACCGTTATGATCTTCAATTTGAAAATATACTATTTTTCTATCCAATATTGTTTCCTTTCCGTTCAAAAAAAATGGTCTTTAAACAAGAAGCATATATTTTTCTTGATTGCGTTATATAAAATTGCTTTATTCAAGTAAGTTTTTCATCCTCCAACGCAATATAATTTCAAGATTTTCACGTTGAAACTAAACATATTATCAAAAGAAGAATATTCTTCTTTTCTGTGCAGATCGAAGAATAAAAATCGTCTATTCCAAATTGCACGTTGGATGTGCGATCAATATTATCTTTCCTTCTAACAATAAGATGTAAGAACAAACGTTTAAAAGCGTAAGCGTAATTTCGTGTTTAGGACAGCCAATGTTCTTTTACGACACGAAAGAGTAGCGGGTCTTATGTACGTATGTAGCTCGGAAATCAACAGTGGTTCTGTGGCTTTAAAGTAAACGCACGAATTATGTTCATTATGTCCGCCATTACGCTCAGCTATTTCGCTTTACCTCCAAGCCACAGAATGACGCGAGTTGTGGTAGCTCAACGCTTTACCTAACATACGCTCTAATATACTAGATAAACATATCAAGCGCAAAATTAAACGCCCACAGAATTACATCTAGCCCTAAATCTACAGCTAACTCCTCATATAGTTTTACTTAGTTTTCATTCCACACTAGTTTACGCTTGTTATATCTTCTGCAAGTAATTAAGTTTCATTGCGGATTTTACCAGCGCGCTACAATTGCGTATCCTCGCTGCGTCGAATATTTCGCATATGCTTACGTTCTTGCAATACGTATAAGCTGTGCTGGTGTTCTCATGTAGAAAAATTGAATTAATAATCAACGACCATTAAATATGTATTAAGATCGTGTAGATGACGTAGAACGCAATAAGTTTTTTCTCTATTTTACATACACGCGTTATATTATCTGTAACGTTGTGCCAAATATTTCAATATGCTACTACATTTAATTAATAAGATCCCGATGGTGTAATTTTTACACGTGTTGGCGCGCTGGTAAACATTAATTCCTAAATAATAATCACGCGAGGCAGGAGAGTCGCAACCTCGCGTTGCGAGCGCCGTACAATGTAGGATTGTGCTCCCGACCGGGGCAGGAGCACGCTGGAATTGCCGGAATACAATTGCGCCGTGTTATGCTTCTCAGTGCATTCGAGAGGATCATGTAACACGTAGAGATACCAACTCTCAGGTGCACCAACACGTTACGCAATGCACGTAGGTGAAACAACCGATTGAATGTGACAACGCGCGCATACCGCAGCACGCATTCGCAGCTCGCCATAAATTCCTTAATTAGATCGTCAGCGCGACAATTTCGGGACAAAAATCTTGAGGACAAGCCGATCCGCGCGCAAGAGCGAGAGAGAATCGAGATGTTTTTTTTCAGCTCGCCCCGGGAGGAAACTGAGATGTAACTGCGATATTTAATTTCCGCAAAACGGCGAGGCGTAGCCTTGCTCCTCTCGTTAAAAATTCGCGAAGCTCGCAGAAAGCGGCATCCACCCGGTCGCTGCATTATGCAAGCGAGAAAAGCGGGAAGCTGACTCCTCGTATTAAGATAACTTCCATGCCGCCGGTATGGCCATGATACATTAAACGCAACAGCGTTATCTCGCTGGCGCGTGGGTTACTTCCTTCCAAAACACCTGCGGCGTCGCTCGTAATCAACTCCTTATCCTTCTCGAAAGGTCAGCAACCACGTATCCTCGACCCTAAAGCTATAATAAAGGCATCCGATACGCATATGCGAAAATCTTGAATATCGCCGCGTTATTATCCTCTTCATTTGATCCGAACAATTCTCAGCATAAATTGTGTTCTCAAATTAGTATGGAATTGTTGCAGCAAGCCGCGCAATGTTTACAAATAGCACGGTACACAATTTGCTACAAAATACATTACGCAAACGTAATTACAGAAATGTATTATATCTCATCTATTTCACCCAGGTCTGTTTTACAATATTCGGACATACGTTACGGTTAATTTTTTTTACGTTTCAATTTCCGCGATCTTTAATGAACGATGTGTATTAAACTTTAACCGGTTTACTTCTGTTTTACAGAGACGAAGACAGCATCCCCCTCCGGAGACTATCTGGGATAGATCGTTTCAGGACGTAACTATTCGGCACGAAGAATTTAAAGAGCCAATTTCGTCGAGCGGCGACTTCATCGTGCGTTGAAATTCGAAA